CCTCTTTCGGTATTTATAGAGATGGTTATGTTTTTTAATATTTCATTGTAAATCCTCCTTAAAAAGTTGACTTTTTAAGCTGTACTGCTTTGTGTTTGTTACAGTGGTTGCTCTGTGCATTACAGCATTTACTGTTAACTTTCACAGTTTATTTAATAATATCATTATGCCTCTTGATGTAAAATAAAAGGACCTCACAAAGTATAATTGCATTTAACCTTTGTGCTATTGGTGTGTTATGTTTTGCTTCATTGTAATGCTGTTTTTGCTTTAAATAGTTGCCTTTTAAACAATTTAAGAAAAAAGGGGAAAAAAGTCTTTTGGAAGGCAGCTACACTCATCACCTATACCACCAATGCTGCTCTAACCATTTGATTATCACTGCATATTTATCATTTCAGGTTTTCTTCATTTGTTTGTGTGTTTCAGCTAAATGTTTGATCTAATGTCTTTTCTCTTCAGCTATAGAGCTTCCTTTAATGTTGCATAATATACAAGTCTAGTGATAGTCTCAGGTTTCATTTATTTGAATGTCTCTATTTTGCTCTTACTTTTCAGGGATATTTTTGCTAGATACAGAATTCTGGGTTTGTAGTCATTTTTTGTCATTTTATTCTTTTTTGGTCTCCATTGTTTCTTTAATTTACAGAAATTTGAAGTGTAGTTTTAACTTAGTTTTTGTATTTGCAGTTTGCTGAGCTTATTTGATCTGTAAGTTGATATTTTTCATAAAATTGGGGACATTTTAGCCATTACTTAAAGAGATGTTTTTCCTCCTCTTTCTTCACTCTCTCCCTCACTTTCTTCCTCCTTCCTTTTTCCTTCTTTACTTCAATTCTAATTGTTCATGTTATTCTGCTTAAAATTGCAATATATATCTGTGAGTCTATTCATTTTTTCTCTCAGTTTTTCAGATTAAATTTCTACTGCTCTGTCTTTAAGGTACTAACTTTTTAAGAATATTGTTTCTAATATGTAGTTAAGCCCATTTTTAAATAATATACTTTTCAATTCTGTTATTTCATTTAAAAATTTTTCCATTCATCTGCTGCTCACATTTCTCATTGTGACCGCATTAAGTCTTTGAGTATGTTCATAACAGCTGCTTTAAAGTCATTGTTAGTTCTCTCAACTGTATTATTTAATAATGGTCTTTTTCTTTTGAGTGTTCCACCCCTACTCCTTGACAGTGGGTCACATTTTTCCTGCTTCATTTTATGAGTAATAAGTTTTAATTATTGAGTGGACTTTGCAGATAATAATATATCATCTCTCTAACTTTTCTTATGTTGATGAGTGTATTAAATTAGTACCTGATCATCTTGAATTTGTGAATCTTGGTTTTTTGTTTTAACATAGGTCTGAGATGCTTACTAAGCCCTTCTCACTTGACCAAACACTAAGCTCATGTCTCCTCTGCAGTGTGCAACAGCTGAAATTGCTGAGTTCTTTGAGCTTTTCAGTTGTTTTCCTCTGGCCTCTTCGGAATCCTCCCTGAGCATATGAAGTTCAGGGGTCAGTGAAGAATTGAAGAAGTTCGTGTTAGTTTTGAGGCTTCCTTCCCTGCTGTGATTCTCCCTTTTCCTGAATTTCCCCTCTGGATTTCCAACCACTTTGTAGCCATGAACTCCAAAGAAAAGACACTTTCTGCTGGAGTTCTAGGTGACCTAGGCTGCTGCAAACTGAGAATGCCCTGAGGCGAAATGCTGTATATATCTCCTACCCCTGTATTTCCTTTCTTTTAGTAGTTAAATCTCCACTTTATACCTGCTGTTGGGTGCTTTTCTGTTTTCAAATCATTCTTAAAAGTGTTTTTTCCAGAGTTTATAGTTATTATCTTGCAGAGGGTTAGTTTTATGACTTGGGTGAATACTACTCCATAGTGATCAGAATTGTTCGTGGAATATTTTTCATTAAGTTTAATATATACCCTGTTTTAGAATAAGATAGAAATTCACCACTGCTTCAGCTACATCCATTTGATCTGAACATGTAGTTATTTAGTGCAGTGGTTCTCAATCTGTGGGTTGTGACCCCTTTGTAACAATGAAAATACATTGCGGCATTAGGAAGGTTGAGAACCACAGATTTAGTGGAAAACCAAGAGAGACAGACAAATTTCTACAGTTGTTTCTTTTTCTCTTTATTAACAAGTAACTTGGTAGACAGCAGTAGGACACATGGTACTGGAGAATATTGGAAGAAAATGTATTTTTCAATTAGTATTTCTACTCTGAGGAAAAAGTACTAACATATAAATGTTTCAACTGCTTCTGTCTCAAATTGATAGGGCCGTTACATCTATAAGTTGTTAACTAGGACCAACTGAACAGAGAGCTCTTCAGAATTATTCTAAATTTATTTATGGCTCTGACTTTAGCTAAACAGGTTTTAAAAAGGGAATGTTGAAGGGGAAACTAGATGAGTTCGTTTTAGAGACGGCACATTCATTTTCTGATAGATTTATTCTTTTGCGCTGCTAGCACAAGCATAAGGGTAACATTAATGTAGTCAAATGTATTATGGTGTTGATTTTTACTAGCTCTTTTGAATTTGGACAGTGTCCGTTTTGTTTTAGTGTAACTGTAAGAAGGTACTTACAGTTATTCCTACAATTTCTTTAGGAAGTAAATGCATTCCAAATGTAATATTTTTAAGTTAAATCCTTTTTTTTTTATTTTTTGAGACAGAGCCTCAAGCTGTCCACCTGTGTAGAGTGCTATGGCATCACAGCTCACAGCAACCTCCAACTCCTGGGCTCAAGCGAGTCTCCTGCCTCAGCCTCCCAAGTGGCTGGGACCACAGGTGCCCACCACAATGCCCGGCTATTTTTTGGTTGCAGCCATCATTGTTGTTTGGCAGGCCCAGGCTGTATTCGAACCCACCACCTTAGGTGTATGTGGCTGGTGCCTTAGCCACTTGAGGCACAGGCGCCAAGCCATTTAAATCCTTAAATATTTTTGTTGAAGGAAAGCAAGGTACATTATAACCACAAAATGCGATTATTTAACTTTTTCCTCTTCAGTTAAGGAGTTATATATGAGGCAGACAAGAGATAGGTGTACAAAGTCAGGTCTTTCCTCCATAGTTTAACCCTAAATTACATTTCCATCTTTCTTAGTTAGGGTTTGATTAGAGAAGTAACATTATTAGAGTATGTAAGGGATTTATTGCAGTGACTGATTTTTGCTGACTGTAGGATCTGATAATACACTCCTGAGTCTGGTGCTAGACTTGAAGTTGGTAGGACCAGCAGTTGGGAAGGGAAGATAGACATGAAAATGGGAGAGAACATGTTTAATGCTTACACTGAAATCTGCAAAGATGATTTGGAAGTCATGGAAATGAGCTGACCCATAAGCCCAAATTTGAGCCTGTGCACAAACCTGACCTTGGGAATGAGATCTCATTAAGAGCTTGAGAAACTGTGGGCCTATTTGTGACACTATGCCACCCAAGGTGAGCCAAGAAAAGATCCACCTTCACGAGGGTCCATGTGACAACTCCAATGGTGCCTGAACTTTGTAAACAAAAACATGATTGATATTTTACTTTTGTTTTCTAAGTTTCATGGAAATTTCTGAGGACAACTCTAACCCCCAACCATGTAAGGAATGGAATTTGGAGAAAGATAGATGCAGCCTAGCTAAGTTCATATAGTACAAAAGCATCATAGTCCACCCCTTGTCACTGTGGCTTCTATACTCACTTCTTTTAATTGTATTTAACTTGAAAACAAAGGCAGTTGCAAAATTGTACTTTGGCGGTGCATAAATCTGCTAACGTATAAATCCTTTCCTTAAAAGAGGATGCAAAGTTCTTTAATCCATTTTTGGATTAGTTTTTCTTATACCTAAGTCACATTTTATACTTAATATCCTTGTAATTTAAATACTGTACTGAGATACGAGGTTAGCTACTACTAGATGGTTGTAGGAAGGAAGATAAAGTAAATTGATTAACATATACATAATTTTTAATACCAAAATAAGGGAAGTAGTTATTAAGAGTTCTTCTATAGCTAGTTACATTCTAGTTATCTAGAATTACCTTCTTTTACTATCATTCCACATTTTCTCTGTCTTTAGCAAGCAATTCAGCTGGTTGTGGTTTCTCATCTGGTGAGGTGACCCAAACTTTCATTCTTTAATTCTGAACCATTTATAGTCCTGATTGGATTATTTCTGCTGACTTTAATCATAGTCCATGGAAATATTAAGTGGCATTTGAGAGGAACTCTTGCATTCCAGACATACTTAGCTCCCATGTGTGGTAGCAACCCAGTTTCCCCTTGATAGTAAGATCAGTTACCCCATTCAGTTCTGTAACCCTCTTCCTTGTTAGTTGATTCATTGGCATGAAGAGCCCAGAGTGGCTGGTGGCAGTCTCAACTTAAGAGTTTAATGGAGCCATTGCTTCAATCCTTGGTGGAAACATTTGTCCCTTGGTAATGAAGATCTCTAGATTATCAGAACCTAAAATTGTGATGATGGGAAGCAAAAAGAAAGAAAAAAGATGAAAGAAATAAGAACAAGTTTATATGCTAATGGGAATAATCTAATAGAGGAAAATGTTGATGAAGGCAGGACAGAGATGATAGAGTTGTTGTAACAATATCCTTGAGTTGGAAAAGGTTGGCTTTAACTAGTACAAGGATTAGCTTTACTTAGGAACGCTGAGAATTTCCTTCTAACAGGAGGAGATGGCAGAGTTATACGGGCATAGAGGCATGTAGGCTGGTAGATGAAGTGGTGTGTTATATATTAGTGAATTAGGTCATCAATGAAGAGTGAGAATGAGTTTATACAAATCAGTATAGGTACATTTTACAATACTTGGAAAGTTAGTAAGTGTACCCAATACATAGACATTTGTTTACATTAAAAGAAGCATAAACCCATCTAGGAAAGTGTATTATAAACTAACTGACAAATGGCTATTAATAATTGAGTTCTAATTCTCAGGCTGATACTTCTTTTTTTTTTTTTTTTGCTTCCCTGAGGGGGTACACTGAAAGTACTACAATACCAGGTTGAGGCGTGGAGTGGACAGAGCAAGTTCCTATTCCAACTCCCTGTTTCAAAAATTCACTTAAGGTATTGTCCTCAGGTAGAGGATATGTCACATATTGAACTGATAAGAATAGACACTACACTTGGTCTTAGCCAAAAGGCTGAGAAGTGATTGATAAACATATTTTGGTTTTTTGTTGTTGTTTGTTTGCGTAAAGGAGGAAACACATACATAAGGTCTGACAATTGAGTTCCTGAATTCAGCCTAGAAAAAGTGTTACGCCATTGCTAAGTATCACTACAGTCACCTTTGAGGCCATCCTCCTAGGAAGCTGCACCTGTGCTGGCATTTAGTTCATCCTTTGAAGGCATTTTGGAATTCTTTTTCTGGAATAACCATCAGAGCTGCCCTCATGGACGGCACACAAAAACATTCAACAACAGGAGCAGTGCCTGTGGCTCAAAGGAGTAGGGCACCGGCCCCATATGCCAGAGGTGGCAGGTTGAAACCCAGCCCTGGCCAAAAAAAAAACAAAACAAAAAACATTCAACAACAGTAACAAATGTCACTCAGCAAGCCATCAGTACAGGTTGACATGAACATAGCTGTAAGGCACTGCCAGATTGATTGTACAGTACTGGCAATATAAGCACATGGTGGCAAGTTTGAGAATTTGTCAGTCCTTGTACAACAACAGCTCTGATGGTCATTACAGAAAAAGAGCTCCAAAATTGCTTTGAAGGATGGACTAGTCACTGGCTTGGGTGCATAGCTTCCCGAGGGGAATATTTCAAAGGTGACTACGGTGTTATTCAGCAATGAGAAATTTAGCACTTTTTCTAGGATGAGTTTGCAGAGTTAATTGTTAGAGTTCATATACTACTTTGAGCTTTCACAAATAATTTTTTTTTGGCGGTGGGGGAGGGACAATTTTGCTATATTGCTCTGGTAGTGTCATAGTTGCTCACAACAACCTCGAACTCCTGGGCTCAAGCCATCCTGCTGCTTCAGCCTCCCTGATAGCTGGAACTATAGGCACAGGTCATCATGCCCGGATAATTTTTCTAGTTTTTAAGAGATGAAGAGTGAGTAGAGGGTTCTCTTATTTTGGTTGTTCTTGAGGTTGTGGCCTTCCAGAGTGCTAGGATTATAGGCATGAGCCACTGGGCCCAGCCACAGGTCAATTTTAAATAATGTCAAATAGTGATGATACTTTATTTTTCAGAAAGTAGTAGTACTGCACGTCATGTCTACTCTGAAACTGGAAATTATATAAAGTAGTGATGAGGAGAGTGTGGAGTTAGACTGCCTATCTCTAAATTCTTGCCATTATTCATGTGTTTCAATTAGCTATTGCTCTACACCTACCCCTTTCCCTAATTCAGTGGCTTGAAACAATAAGTATGTATTATTATTTATGAATTTCTGGATCAGATTGATGGATCTGATCTTCTGGGCTAGATTTGGCTAATTTTAGCTGAGCTGATTTCATCTAGGATCATTCATATGTTTGTGGTCACCTGGTAGGTTGGAGGCTGGCTTCTCTAAGATAGCTTCTTAGATTTCTGGTGATTGGCTGGTTTTCTGCTGGAAGGTGGAGGGTGATTAGGCACTTGTATCTCATCATTCATCAGGCTACCTGGGCTTGTTCATGTGGTGGCAAGATTCCAAGACGGAGTAGGAATGTGCAAGATCTCTTGAGATCTCTCCTTGGAACTGGCACATTACTTCTGTTGGTCAAGGCAGGTCTTGAGGCCAGACAAAATTAAAGATGTGGGGAAATTGGTTTTGCATCTTGAGGGGAGGAGCTGCCGTGTCACATTGCAAAGGGTATGGATTCAAGGAAGTGTGGAGAGTTGGTCATTTTTATAATAATTTTGCCATACAACATGATCTTGTACAAGTCTCTTCATCTTGGTGAATCTGTTTCTCTTAGGAGAGTAGTTTCTAAAAGATGATTTTGAAGGTTAGATAAAATAACCTTTGTAAAGTGCTTGTGGTGGTGTCTTGACGTATTCCAGTAAGAGCTCAGTAAATGTTAGCAATAATAATAATTGCATAGTTCTTTCATATTCATGACTAAATCCTCATAAGAATCCTATAGTGTCATTATTTCCTTAAAAGTGTAGGTGACAGAGGAATCACTTAAGTTACCAGTGTGCCAGTGTTGGTGGTAGACCCAGCATTTGAACTAAGTTTGGGTGCTTGCTTGTTTTAAAAATCTAATTCTTTGTTTGGTCAGCCAGTATAGTGGTTAAAAATGTGGACCCTGGAACTTAGATTGACTGTGTTTGAGTCTTGGCCTTCTTCTTACTAAGTTATTCATTCAGCCTTGGGCTGATTACTTAACCTCTGTGTGCTTCATTTACTAGGAAAGATTGCTTTACAGAGTTTGGTGGTGAGGATGAGATGAAGTGATATGTGTTAACTGTAGGGAGCTGTGAGGCCAGGTGCTCAATGTGTTCTTCCTTTTCTTTATCTTATTATTACCATGCTGCCTGTAATCCAAACCTTTAAAAACCTTTCTTATTGAAACGTTTAAATGAGGCTGAAATTATTACTCTTTTCTTCATAGAACTATCTAACATTTTCATTAAGTAATATTAACCCTTATGGTTCCCTAATATAATATGTCAATTGATTACATAAGGGGGACTTCAATTGGGAGGAAACTATCCCACAATATTTTGTCTTTTTTGTTTTTCTGTCTCCTTTCCAAGCTTTTCATGTATAATATCATTCATTTCCATGGGTTCCATTCTATGTAGGTTACTCCAAAATCAGTATCTGAAGTTTAACCTTGCTTTTGGTTTTCAATCATTGGTTTTTTTTTTCCAATTAGTCATAAAATTTATATTTTCTGTTATTTCAAATGTTTCTGTTCCACTTTATGCTTTGTTGCCTCTTGTTTAGTCCAGGTCCTTTTCTCTTTATGCTTTTGGTTTAGTCCAGATCATTTTTTTCTTAGGTTAGTAGCTTCCTAATGCTATTCCAGTCCTCTTACCTTCTTCTACTCTGTTCTCTAAGAACTGTTGAAACAATTTCTGTAGAAGATGCTTGATCATTTTACTCCCTCGGTTAAAACTTTTTTTTTTTTTAACTTCCCATTGCCTGTATGTAAGGAAAAATAAATTCGAGCATTCAAGGTTCTTCTTCTTTTTTTTGAGACAGTTTCAACTAGGTTGCCCTCAGTAGAGTGCTGTGGCGTCACAGCAACCTCATACTCTTGGGATTAAGTGATTCTCTTGCCTCAGCCTCCCAAGTAGTTGGGATTATAGGCGCCCTCCACCACACCTGGCTATTTTTTGTTGCAGTTGTTGTTGTTTTAGCTGGCCTGGGCTGTATTCAAACCTGCAGGCCTGGATGTATGGCTGGCGCTGTAACCACTGTGCTGCGGGCACTGAGCTGCATTCAAGGTTCTTTTTTTTTTTTTTAAGAGACAGAGTCTCACTTTGTCGCCTTGGTAGAGTGCTGTGGCGTCACCTCCAGCTCCTGGGCTTAGGCAATTCTCTTGCCTCAGTCTCCCAAGTAGCTGGGACTACAGGTGCCCATCACAAAGACTGGCTATTTTTTTGTTGCAGTTTGGCCAGGGCCGGGTTCAAACCCGCCACCCTTGGTATATGGGGCAGGCACCCTACTCTTTGAGCCACAGGCACCGCCCCCACATTCAAGGTTCTTGATATATTTGTCTCTGCTTTCCTCTTCAGCAGAATGTTTAGTTAATTTTCAATAGAATTTCTGAGGTCTGGCTGTATGAAACTATTGAAGACTGTCATATTCTTTTGCATTTCTGTGCACTTACATGCACTTTTAATTTCATTTGAAGTCTTATACCTAGGTTTGTTAGGTTGGCAGACTTTCAGACTGTGCATCTTTTTAAGAATTGAACTGGTATAATTTCTCAGGGAGTTTTTCTTTTTTTAACTCCAGTGCGCATACTTTCAGATTCCTGGAATCTTTGCCTGCTCTGATATATGTTTATATTACAGCATTCATCACCTTGGTTGGCTATTTTATTTATTTAGACAGAGTCTCACTCTTTTGCACCAGACTAGAATGCCATGACATCATCCTGGGCAGCTTCAAACTCCTGAGCTCAAGTGGTCCTTTTACGTCAGTCTTCGAAGCAGCTGGAACTACAGTCTCCTGCCACAATGGCTGGCTTATTTTTCTTTTCTTTTCTTTCTTTCTTTCTTTTTTTAAATAGTAGAGATGGGGTCTCACTCTTGTTCAGGCTGGTCTCCAATTTCTGAGTTCAAAGGATCCTCCTGCCTTGTCTCCCAGAGTGTTAGGGCGTGAGCCACTGCACCTGGCCTATCATGTTGGTTTTTAAAAACAACTTTTATTTAGACAAAATTCATATACCATGCAAATCATGAATAATAAGGTATACAGCTCAGTGGTTTAGTATATTCACAGAGTTGTGCATTCATCACTGCAGTCAATTTTAGAATGTTTCTATTACTCTAGAAAGAAAGTCTACATCTCTTAACCAACACCTCATGCTATAGTTTGAATAGTCCCCCAAAGTTCATGTGTTGGAAACTTGATCTCAAATGCAGCAATGCTGGGAGGTGGGGCCTAGGGAGAGGTGGTGTTTCACTAGCAGAGTGAGTGGATTAATGCTGTTACTGAGGGAGTGGGTTTGTTATAAAAGGAGGTTCAGCCCCCCCCTTTTCTTTCTTTTTTCCACATGTGATGCCTTCCACCATGTTATGATGCAGCAAGAAGGCCTTCACCACATGCTGGCCCCTCAGTCTTGGACTTTCCAGCCTCCATAATCGTGAGCCATATACATTTTTGTTCATTATAAATTACCCAAAATGTGATATTCCGTTACAACAAGACAAAACAGACTAAGACACTTTCTTATACCCCTGCCCTAGGTAGCCACTAATCTCTTTTCTGTCTATAGATTTGTCTATCCTGCACATTTCATATTAATGGAATCATATATTTGGCCCTTTGTAACTACTGTCTTTGATTTAGTGTAGTTTTATAGATCCATATTTTATATATATCAGTACTTTTCATTAGCAAATAATAATTATATAGATACACTACGGTTTGCTTATCCATTCACCAGTTGATGGTCATTTGGGTTATTCCCACTTTTTAGCTGTTATGGATAATGCTGTTTTGAGCATTTGCTTATAGAGTTTATGTGTGGATATATGTTTTTCTTTCTCTTGAGTGTATACCTAGGAGTGGAATTGCTGGATCCTATGGTAATTCCATGTTTAACCTTCTGAGGAAATGGCGGTCTGTTTTCCAAAGCTAGATCACCATCTTATATTTCCTTTGGCAGCATATGCGTCTTACTGTTTCTTTATATCCGTGTCCACACTTGTTGTTGTTTGTCATTTTGATAATAGCTGTCCTGGGAGATGGGAACTGGTATTCCTTTGTGGTTTTTATTAGCATTTCCCGATAGTTACCAACCTTGCATTAATAGGATAAACTCAGCTTGGGCATGATATAGCTGCACTAGCCACATGTGGCCATTTATATTAATCAAAATGAAGTTACATTAAAAACCTAGTTTCTCACTTATACCATCCACATTTCAGCTGCTACTTGTGTTTACCATTATTGTATTGGAAAGTACAAATTATATGATATAATGTTTATCGAGAGTGATGGCTCACACCTTTAATCTTAGCACTCTGGGAGACTGAGGTGGGTGGATTACTTGAGCTCAGGAGTTCAAGACCAACCTGAGCAAGGAAGGATAAAACCTCACCTCTACTAAAAATAGAAAAGTTAGCTGGGCATTGTGGTGGGTGCCTGTAGCCCCCAGCTGTTCAGGAGGTTGAGAGAATAGGATAGCTTGAACCCAGGCTACTGGGAGTCTGAGACAAGAGAATTGTTTGAGCTCAGGCATTTAAAGTTGTTATGAGCTATGATGATAGGGCAGTCTTATGCAGGGCAACAGAGTTGAGACTCTGTTTCAAAACAAACAAACAAACAAAAAATTTGTATTGTGGTAAGTTTCCTTTAAAGGTATAGTTATCTTTAAAAAATTCTTTGCTAGAGTTATGTGGCCAAATGTATGTTTGTGAGTTTTCATGTCAAAGTTATTCTTGTTTCATAGAAAGAGAAGGGAAATAATTCTTTTTATTTCTGTTTTGTGAAATAATATAAGATGGAGCCATGTTGTTCTTCAGAGATTTAGAACAGCTCAGGCTTGATTTGTCCTTGTAGGAAGATTTTAAGCTACTCAGAATGGTTTTTTAAAAAAATTATTACTGGTCTATTCATGTGATGATTTCTTGAGTAAGTTTCTGTTATTTAGGTTTTTTAGGATATTGTATCACCTGAGATAGGAGATTTGTGGGTATAAAGGAGGAATCATCAAATTATGGCCAATAGGCTACCTGCCTCTTATAAATAAAATTTTAAATAAAATTTGGAATATATCCATAGCTATTCATAATGTCTGATTGCATTTAAATGCAGAAATGAACAGTTAAGGCAGAAGGTATGGGCCCTAAGCCAGAAACATCTGCTGTCTGGTCCTTTTAGAAAAAGTTTGCCAGTCCTGGTTTACAAAGTATTCTTTATCATTTTTTTTAATACATTCCTATTATTCTCTGTAGTTACATCCCTTTTTTTATTCCTAATGTTGTTTTTTTGGTCTATTCTTTGTCAGCCCCTGAGATTTGCTAGTTTTTGCTTATTTAGATATATTCTTCTATTTCATTGACTAATTTCTGCTCTTTCTTTTAATAATTGTCATTCACTAATCTTTGAGCTGATTGTCCAAAGCTCTAAATTTTCCTTGTTATACCACTTTCCTTAATTCCTAGAAGTTTTATATGTATTATTTTCTTTATTAACTGAGCAATATGTCTTTTTGTTTTTAACTAACTACGTTTTAGGAATATGTGGTGGATGAGGTTTGTATTGTGAATTTGTTGACATATGCATTATATACCAAGTTGTCATCAGATTTTGTAAAAGTTATTATGTATGCTCAAGAAAATTGTGTATGGGTGCAGAATTCTATAAATGACCAACAAAGCAAACTTATTAATTATCTTATTTAAATTTTCTATATTTTCACTAGTTTTTCTAATAGATACTCCATTAGTAGTGGAACAGATATATAAGTTCTTGTACTCTACAGGTGGTTGTGTGTGTTGGTTTTTCCCTTTGGATCTATCATTTTTGCTGTATTTTCATGTTACTTAATAGTTCACATAAATTAAAATTATGGCTTGGCGCGGTGGCTTGCGCCTGTAATCCTAGCACTCTGGGAGGCAGAGGCACAGGTGGGTGGATTGCCCTGTGACGGGTTTGAGACCTGCCTGAGTAAGAGTGAGACCTTGTCTCTAAAAATAGCTGGGAATTGTGGCAGGCGCCTGTAGTTCCAGCTACTTGGGAGGCTGAGGCAAGAGAATTGCTTAAGCCCAAAAGTTGGAGGTTGCTATGAGCTGTGATGCTGTGGCATTCTACTGAAGGTGACAAAGGTGAGACTCTGTCTCAAAATAATAAATACATTAAAAAATTACTGTCCTGGTGATTTGAATCTTTTAACAATTTTATGAGGCCTTTCCTGTGTTTTATAATCTTTCATGTTTTAAAATTTAGTCTGATAAGAATTTTTTTGTTAGTTTCTGTTTTCATTTTGCCCTACCTTTCTTTACTTTTTTTTTTTTTAAGTTATTTTTATTTTTCTGCAATCCACTTCTTTTTTCTTTCTGTTAGGGAAATTATAGTTTCTTCTTTTTAAAAAAATTGTTACTCTTGAAGTTTTACCTCGCATACTTAATTTCTTAGCCCTTTTTAAAATTGACACAGAAGCCCCTCTACTAATCTGATCAACACACACCTCCCAACTTCTTTGTTGATGTTGCCCGCATTTTAGTTCTCCCTTTTATTTCCCAGATTAGACTTGTTATTGTGTGTATTTTTTGCTTCTATGTTTAGTTTAAAATAATTTTCTCTTAATAAATTTCAAAGTTCTCTAGATCCTCCTGTATCTCTTAATTCTCTTCTAAATTTGTCATCTGTTTGTCTCTTGAACCTGTTTTTTCAAATTAGTAATTTTTATGTTTCTTTAGCCATGTTTAAGATTTTGAAGTCAGTGGTTACTTTTTATTAAAGTAGTTAACAAAATTCTCC